ACACACACACACACAAAAGAGTATGACAAAATACAATTAAGTAATCTCTCAATTTTAAACTTTTGAATCTGCTGTAATTAAGAAAGTAATACTTGATAATAAGTTTCAGGATAAAGAGATGTCAGTATAAAAGGTCTGGGCCATCACAGAGCACTTTGAATCCTTCCCAGTTTCATGCTTGTTATTTCAGAAGCAATAGCAAATAATGTATTTATGACAGAAGTATCAGATCCAAAGACTGAATTTCTAATGCTATTACAAATGTAAAAGAAATCAGAAGCATAAAAACTGATGCATGGATAGAAAGTTAGTGATTAAGAAACAAGAAATGGAAAACTGCCCCCTTTTAATAACTGCAAAAGATGAAACTGACTTTCAGCAAGAATTTTTTACAGTTCTCTTACTGGCATTTGAAATAAAGCTTTTGAAAGATATGCTGTAAAATTTCTTAACTGTTTATTAATGAATATTTTGAAAAACTAGATGAGGCACTCCATTTCTTTGGAAGGGGTTGACAATCCTTTTTACAGATGCATTGAAGTTGCACAGTTTGTATGAAAAATGTGTAGTTTTCAGTGTTAACAATACAGACAACTGTAAAACAGCAGAGTATCACACACAGTCTGCAAGTTTCTTTCTTTCTTCATATTGTTTGTCTACTGCAAGTGAAAGAGCTTGAAGAAACGTTGTCATTGTAACACTGGGGGACTGAAAATAAGAGAACATTTTGTTAGACACACTACAGCAATAAGCATATGTAATATTTTACATACAAATCACAGTATTTAAAAGAGAAATAGTTGGCTTCCATATTACAAAATTTTCAAAATGCTACAAAACATAAAAAGGCAGATTTCTTTTAAATCAGGTAGCACAATAAAGTCAATCACTATTACTGTGGATTTGCTTCAAAGAAGGTTTTAAACAAATTAATATTATTTATAAAGTGGCAGAGAGTTGTCTTTCAGCCAGAAATTATCAGAGAACCAATATCAATGTCTCTCACAACATTTAATTAAAAGTAAAATGCTGTTGGACAGGTCAATCCCACATGTCTTCCTCAATTTCATTTTAAAATTACAAGCAGTACAGAATTGTTTCAGTCTATAAAACCGCAGAAATGGTGCAATTTAGCTTTAAAGAGGAGTTTAGGCCCAATCTTTTACTTCTGGCAGCATCCAAATGTCTTCCCTCCCATGTCAAAACCAACCCAAAGTATAATGAATAGAATAAACTTAATTGAATAGAATAAACTTACTTGAATATAAAGCGCATGTGCTAGGAAAGGAAGCTTTCTCAGGACCCGGCCACTGAGACCTTCACTTCTTCTATAGTAAAAGAGAGACAAGTGCAGCTTAAATGCTAAATATCCACTCTTTTAAGATCTTTCCTTTTTCTGTGTTTCTCCCATAAGTTGCTCTAAAAGACTTCAAATCAGAGGTCAGCAGGTCACTTGGAGCACTTTTAGCAGAAGCAGGGAGC